TGAGTCAGTGTTGATTCCTGGTGGCTGCCTGGACAAGTCCATGCAATTTTTTTGGCAAGATTTTGGAAGTGGTTTGCTATTGCCTGCTTCCTAGGGCTGAGAGAGAGGGACTGGCCCAAGATCACCCAGATGGCTTCGTGCCTCCTAAGGCAGCACTAGAACTCACAGTCTCCCAGTTTCTAGCCCGGTGCTTTAACCACTACACCAAACTGGCTATCTTTTATTATGAGTAAGGTACGAATATACAGATAGCTTTCAAAGTAATATTTACTGCGTAATCTGATGTGTTTTGAATAGCAGGTCCTTTGCATGTGCCAGGCTATGCAATAAATGTTGCTTTGGCACTTTCAAGGTCATTTATCTATTTGTTCCACAGTATTGATGCCTGCCTTCTCACACTTCGTTTATTATTAATAAACAGGGTGGGAGAAAGAAAAAGAAAAGTACAAAGTAGGGGAGAATCTTCTTGCCAGATCCCTCAGTAAGAATGTGAAAATAGCCACACATGCCAGAACACTAACTTGACAATTCAAATCATGTGTTGCCAAAAGATAGGCTGAGAGTGAATGTTTGACTAAAAAAGAAATGAAAAGCTCTGAAGGATAAAAATTTCTTCTACCACATCATGAAGGATATTAAACAAGGCCCATGTTGTTGTTGGAAATGAACCTCACACAGTGCTTAACTTTTCAGTGACCTTACCCTGTGAACATCTTCTCAATTTGTTAGTGCTAAAAATAACACAATTGTAGCTGTTAAGGATTACCTAACTAAGAGAGGCAGTTGGGAGGCATGTTTTAAAGCTTCTTTCCTGTGACACACAAGAACTGCACAATCTTGAGAACAGCACCTGGCTAGCAAGCCTCCTTTTAAAGACAATGGTTATAAAAATAATGTGTCAACTAATCCAATATGTGAGCCAAAGGAAATATTTACTGAAGTCCATGGAGAATTATGAGCTGAGAAAAACCATAAATGCCACAGCAGGAAGCAATAATTTCTATATTACCATTCCACAAGGTCAGGAATCATGGGTACAGCCTGGTGTCAGTCATCATGAAACAAAGGCATTGCCTATGTCATGAATGAGAAGAATTTTACTTGTAAGAATTCATATAATGCAGCAATGTCTCAGATCTCTTTCATGGCTTTCCCAAAATATAGAAGTATTCAAGCCAACTTTTTTGCAAAAAGTAGATTTAGGCCTGCACCTCAAGTCTCATTAACCAAATTTGATGGAGCAGTCACCTGCAAAGGAGCATTCTGTCATCAGCTGAACACATGGCAATAAGTATCAATCTCTCCTTCGTGTGCCGAAGGATGTAGAGAATTCAGATTGTTCCCTCTCATTTCCCTTTCCTTATATCTTCTCTCGTCATCTTCTAAGCTGCATATAAAGTGAAGGCTGTGTCATAAAGAGGAGCAAGTCCTTTATATAAATTATTCCAAAACATGAGTAAGTCTTCCTACTCCTCATTTTGGATCTGCAATTCCTCTTTTTAAATTGAGCCTTTATGCATTTTGATTGTTCTGCTGTGTATTATTGTTAAGTTGCTGATAATTGTTTTATTCCCATCCATGTTGGTTGATTTATTTCTGTTATTTCTCATAAAACATCACCTTGAATGCTAGAGAGACGTTACTGTCATCACTGCCAAAGAATCCACAGAAAATTCTGCTGAAACTTTCATGTTTGAGTTTTACAGATTGATAACCACTTATTATGTGTACTTATTTGAAAAAGCTCCAGCCAACAGGACTGGGAACCAGAGAACACCAATGTCAGCAATTCTGCTCATGACCTTGAAGTGTACACCCATTTGGGGTTTTCAAGCAGTCCTGAAGAACCACATAACCAATCTAAATTCACAGGATGCCTTTGTACAAGAATATTAGCCAGCCTTCTGTCTTCACAATATATCAGTCATCAAGAACATTATGAGCTGAAACTGAGCAATGATGAAATAGCAGCACAAACTTGGGAAGAGAAAGAGTAGTCACTCAGTGCAATGTCACATCCTTGTTCAAATTAGTTCTCCTCATCCAATATTAGCTACAACACAGCACAACATTGATGTCTTTGGGATGGAGGACTTAGTAGCTTTTGGAAATGGGAGAACTGTAGTAGAAAACCATAAGATTTCTTTTTCTGAAGAAAGTGAATTCAGTATTAGCAACGAACATTAGCAACTAGCCAAATATAATGTGCAGGATCTTGGTCAGCTGTTGTTTTTCTATTTGTTTTGTTTTCTGAAAGTGGCTGGGCTGCTAGACAACACATCTGAATAGTGATTTTTTTTGCTTGCATCATAATGAAATGTAGGAAAATGCATTTTTAAGAAAATAAACATATTTCAAAAATTGATAGGGACAAAAGAAATCTACTTTCTAAAAATAAAGACTGTATTTTTCTGTATAAGCAGAAGCTGAAGGAATATGTTTCTCTGTGTGTGTGTGTGTGTATGTGTGTGCGTGCGTGCATGCATGCCTTTTAGTCAGTGTCTCAACTTAGCTGCCTGGACTAGCTCCTGCAGTTTTCTTAGCAAGATTTCAGAAGTGGTTTGCCATTGCCTTCTTCCTAGGGCTGAGAGAGACTGACTGGCCCAAGGTCACCCAGCTGGCTTCGTGCCTAAGGTGGGACTAAAACTCATGGTCTCCCGGTTTCTAGCCTGGTGCACTACACCAAACTGGCTCTCAATGTTTCTATATAGTATAAATTTAATAACATGTTAAAGGATTGAGCTAGTCCTATAGTAATATTAAACTGATCTCTCTTCTTTAGTTTTAGTTCAGTATAGTTCACTATAATAATTATTATGTATTAATTTCTCTCTTTTTAATAGATTTTATATTTTACTTTCAATTTTAAAGGGACCATAACCCATAATCCTAGAGCTATTAGAACAGATTTTAAATAAACCATTTCCTGATTTCCTTTACTCTTGAAAAGCCACATTCCACTGAAGCAGGCTCTGCCATGGCAAACACGTTAGTGATATCTATGGCTAGAAATGCTCATTAAACCAACATACTTTTTCAAACACTGTAACTAGAAATAAATACCAGTGTAAAGTTGAAAAGAGCTGTGTAAAGAAAAGTGTGTTGAGGCTAAGTTCAATTTAAATAAAACAGAAATTGTCTTTATAAAGAATAGACTGTATTACAAAAGGCTATATAGAAAAACGTATATTGTGGTAGTTGGACAGAAAAAAAGTATCAATTTTTAGTATCTAAAAGTATCTGATGACATGTATTGAAAAATAGGTAAAAAGTGCTTTTCTGTATTTTGCTCAGAATTGGAATGACATGGACTAGTCTGCAAGAACATGAAACACATAAATGGATCAGATTTTCATTGATTACGCATCCCTAGATCAATTTACAGTTCTCCTTAAGTCTAGAACCAATTTTTTTCTTATTCTTAAACAATAAATTCTTGACACATAGATCTTCTGCCAAAGCTGGCGGGAGGAATCAACAAGATTACACAACCAAATAACGGTAACATAAATTCCGCAGATTGTTTTGTTTGGAAATGTAATAAAAGAGGTGTCATTATAAAATGTAGCCAACCACCTCTTTCTGCAAAACTGGAAAATGAGACAACTCCTAGCCCTGAAAATCAGATTTGGGTCACTGAAGTCCTCAGTGGAGAAAATAATAATGCAAAACATGTAGCTCCCAGCCACAAAAATGTTACTACCCCTTGGTCTATAGTAGGACCTTTCACTAGAAATATTCAGCGAGAGCTAGGAAGAGAAAAGAGTTTCAGTAGGAACTCATAAGATCCGCTGCCGTGCAGCTGCTATTAGAATACGTAAGCCTGCTTAGTGAATTCCTCCTGTTATTCAATTAAGTAGAATTGTGCTCAGCAGTTGATGTGCAGTAAGAACTTGGACTTTCTTGATCCAGCATGAAAGTGTACCAAGAAACCCCATCTTTCAACCCCAATGCTTCATCCGTAGGAGAAGAGTATTGAGTATATTTCTATCTGGTTCATGTTGGATCAGGATTTTCTATTAGGGCTCTTTCTATAGCACTACCAGGTTTTAAAGGATCTAATTAGGAGGCCATAAACTGAAAGAGATCTCTTCACCCTATCTCCAAATTAGTGACCCATGCTTTTTGTATGTAAGTGATTATAAAACAGCTTTATCTCCAGGGACACAAATAACTTGATCCACAGCTGCAGCATAAGAAAACCTATATGTCAGTTGAAGTTCCTTCTGTTTGGTGAAAAAAAGGCCTCATATTTGGAATGCTTGGCGTTCTTTGCTTTTATTTTTTTTAAAAAAGAAAGCAACCTACACACACACACACACACACACACACGTGCACACACATGTTTTTTCTGTGCAATGAAATCCTGTCAGCAGAGCTAATCCCTAGGGAAATCAAAAGTATAAGCTCCAGAACAGCAACAAGTGCATGGTCAAAACCATGTAATCAAGATGAAGGCTTCCTCATATTGAGATTACACACCCCATTGCCTCTAATCACAACCAAAGATGACAGGAACACAAATTCAGAATCATCTGATTTTGCAAGGACTGACAAAACAGGGATAACAACCCAGCAAAAATCAAAAACTGCTCTGGATTTTAAAAGTCCACTTTGTTTCTCTATCTTGGATTTGAGGTAGATTAAATAATTGAAAAGGCTAGGCTATTAGGTCATGATTTCTGTACTGCAGCTGTCCGGCACAAATTGACAGACACTTTGCAAGTCCCGTTGATTGAATAAGAGGCAGAGAAAATTTCTGCACACAGCAAAGCACAGTTGAAATGGAGAAAGAAGCATAATCGAATGGAAAAAAGAGACAGCATTTTATATGGATTCACTTAACTGGTTCTGTGGTAGTAAGAATAGTAATTTATGAATTAAGGCATCGATGGATACACAAAACCATTCTAAACGGCAACGGCAACTCTGTTAGAGAGAATCACTGCTTCTCATAAAAATTGAACTGAACCTTCTGCAAACTTGACAAGTGAAGAACCATGAATGGTAAGACATGTTTTTATTTGGAACTATTGTGAAAAGATTCTGTCCAGCAAAGAAACATTGATTTAACTTCTTAGCAGTCCCTGGTATTTCTTGAAGCCACGTATTTCTTTCATACCTTAGCAAATAGTTGCACGCCAGGCATACCGATACAAAGTGCATCTCCTTTCTTATATAATTTCAGTGTTCAGAAACACTAAGAAAATATTTGAGAGAGCCATTCAAATATTATTAACTTTCTGAATTATATTTAATGATGGATGCACAAGCTAATTTCAGAAAGTGAAGGGCTTCATTTGACGGTTGACATGTTTAGCTGTGAATACAGAGGTTTTCAAGTATCCAGTCCTATTAGCAATACTAATTTAGACTCAGTGACCTGCCCATCTTCTTAGACATTTAAATAATTGATTTCAAATTCAGTCCTTTGCATGTTTACTAAGTGATATTCAACAGAATTTACCTTATTGAGAAGTAGATATACATAACTGAAGCCCTTAATTATTACAAGCATAATTAATAAGCTTCAGGAATTATCTTGAAAAGAGGCAGGAACCTTTAATTACTTGGTCATAGGGAAAATATGGCTATAAGATTTTTAGCCACAGTTGCCTGATCCTCTGTTGTTATACTGTACACATCTACATAAGCAATGATGTAAGAGAAATACTAGTTATGAAATAGCAGGATCCTTTACTTAGGTCATAGTAAAGTACTGCATTTCTTTACCTTTTCTTTAAAAAGAAAAAAAATAGATTTTAGAAGAAAAATGGATAATATGCAAAAACTATAAAATATAGTAATTGAAAGAATTATTAAACATTTCCATCATGTTTAATCCACAGGAGTCAATTCTCTTAAATATACGTATCCTTAGCACAGGTAGACTATCTGATTTCTTCTAGATATTTTGATCTCCCAATAAGTCCCAGTTAGAGTAATAAGAATTCAGGAACTGGAGTTGTAATTCAAAACTGTTGGAGGGACCACACTTGCTTATGGCTGGTATTCCCTCTCTCCTGCCAGTTTTTCAGTACAACCTAACAATTTGAACAAATTCATTGAAGTAAACATGGAAGTTCTGAAGGCAGGAAAGTACCCAAGTTATTAGGTATTCCCTAGATGGGGATGAACTGAGCCGGCTTGGTGTGGTTAAAAGCACCAGGCTAGAAACCAGGCGACTGTGAGTTCCAGTCCCATGTGAGGTACAAAGCCAGATGGGTGACCTTGGGCCAGTGACACCCTCTCAGCCATAGGAAGGAGGCCAGGGCAAACCACTTCTGAAAAATCTTTCCAAGAAAACTGCAGGGACTAGTCCAGGCAGTCACCAGGAGTTAATAACTGGCTCGAAGGCACACACACACACACACAGAGATGGGGATGACCAAGTAATCCTACAGATCATAAGACAAACTGAATAAGGTGTTGTGTAGAAAATGAAAAGCACTCATATGATTAAGCGAAAGTAGTTAAATGCTTTTCATAATCCTGTTGAGCCCTTGGCAACTTTCAGGGTCTACTCAATGCTAAGCAAAGCAGAATGTAAAATTCCTCAAACAGCCATTTCGACCTGCAGTTTTATTACAAGAAAAATTATAGTTTTATTTCCCTAAAACCCCACTGAATGTTTTCTAGTCTTGTATGATTGCTTATAATCACTTGAGCACATTCATATGTATTTTTATCCAAATGTACAATATCCTAAAAGTTAATTGCACATTCATATGTATTTTTATCCAAATGTACAATATCCTAAAAGTTAATTGCACTTCTAATAAAGAATGAAAAGTAATTCCATTTAAATTCTTAGGGTTATCTAAAAGTAGTTCCATATCCCAGGTAGAGGGCATTAAGAACTGAACAATATTGTTATTATTCAGCCTTCTATTCTGATATACAACTGCACATTTCTAGAAAACTCTGATTAAGTGTCGCTACAATAAGCTAAATGCAACATTGGCAGTTATTTTCTTATTTTTTAGGTTCACTGCTTTTTGTTTCAAGCATCATCATACTGATAGATGTGGTGAACGGCTGTCCCCCCACATGTCTATGTCATCCAATTTCACAGACAGTGGACTGCAGAAATCGAGGACTTGCTGAAGTTCCTTCCCACTTACCTGCTGGAACTCAAATATTATTTTTGTCAAACAATGACATCCAGAGACTCAGTCAAAGGACCTTTAGGGGCACAAAGACTCTCAAAGTTCTGGACTTATCTAATAATTCTATTTCGGGTTTATTACCTGAAACATTTAAAGGACTGGAACATTTGCAGATTCTAAATCTAACAAATAATTTCATTACATATGTAGATAATAAGACTTTTAGCTCTCTACCACATCTAAGAGAACTAGATTTATCATCAAACAATATATCAAGGCTTCCTAGAACACTAGGAAACAAGACAGAGAACATTACTTTATTATCTTTGAAATATAACCAACTTCAGGAAGTTGACAGAGTTCTGTTAGAATCACTGCCAAATCTGAAAATGATTCTTTTCAAGGGTAATTTCTGGCAATGCAATTGTCAAATCGTTGGGCTTAAATTATGGCTGGAAAGCTTTCTGTACAACGGTGAGTCACTTTCCTCTATTACACATATATTGTATGTCCAACAACATTAACTTCTCTTAACTGTATTTCAAGGAAACATCTAAACATGCAAAGCTGCTTTTTCTAATGATAGTGGGGACTTTTAACTTCCTGGTTTAGTCCATAGCATCTGCACTTTCTCCTCCGGGCATGGGGTAGCAAACCTTATAGAATCTGTAGATTAGAGCTGCAAAGAGAACAGCTGCAGGGGGGAACCATGTACATAGCCTGCCAGTATATGTGGTGATCCTGAAAGCCCATCCCAGAATGGGTGACAGCAAAAATGATTACCATTTCTCTGCATTTGTGGGTATTAGTAATGTTGGGGGGATTCAAAATCCATACTTTAAGCTTAAGAGAACCATTGCTCCCCTTAAAACATCTAAAGCCTCCTTCCCAAAACTGGGCCCCTACCCATTTTTGAGGGCAGCATCCAACATACTGGACAAAACCTAGAAACCATTGTTATAGATGAGGTCATCTAATGCTTGAGAGCAGGTAGCAGCCATGGCCAGGAGGGCCTTCGCACAAATACATCTTGTGTGCCAATTGCACCCATTCCTAGATCAGAAGGCACTGCTCACAGTCACTCATGCCTTAGTCACCTCCAGATTGAACTATTGCAATCTGCTGTACAAGGGGCTGCCTTTGAAAAGCATTTGGAAGCTTCAGCTGATCCACTATGCAGTGGCACAGGCAGTATTGGCCACACTACGTCACAGCCATGAAACACTGCTGCTACGTGAACTGTACTGGGCTTCCCTGGTGCAATTCAAGATTCTGGTTGTCACTTTTAAAGCCCTGCATGGCATGGGGCTAGGTTGCTTATGGGACCACCTCTCCCTGATGGTTCCTGCCTGTCCCATCAGATCTGGCAGAGTGGGCATGAACCTGTCTCCTCTATGAGGAAGTGTCATCTGGTGGGTCCTAAGAAGTGGGGCTTCTCTGTCATGGAACAGCTTCCCCCCAAAGATCTGAACATCCCATCTTTGGGAAGGCTGTGAACACCCAGTTCTTCCCCAGACATTGGGGCCAGGTTGTTAGTTTCTGGAGCTCTGGTGTGAATGTATAGCATAGGCGTTTTTTTGAAATTTTTAATGAGGAGACCTCAACCTGGGTTTTGTTTGCATGTTATGCCTGTTGATTTTTTTTTTTTTTTACTATTGCTAGCCACCCAGAGTTGGATAGATGTGTAGCCTTATATATTTGATTAATAAATGAATAAATAATGATGCTGGTTGTGTGTGATATAAGTTGCACAGCTCTTGACGGTACTTAATGTGTGAGTGCATGTGTGGATATTTTTTATATAACTTCTCTGTGTTTACTTGTGTAAAAGAAAAATGTGTGCTCTTTTTGCAATATAAAGTATACATATTAAGGAGCTCATACATATTTATTTATAATGCTTACAAAATACCCAGTAACAGAAATTCACTGGGTAACTGACAAAAGTGTAAAATGTAGATCGTATGTTTTTAACTTCTATTTGTCAGTTACTCACTAAACAGAATAAAAGAACAAGAGAAAAAAACAAACAATAGAGAACAGATTGTTCTTATAAAAATTAAGATGGGGACATAAACAGGTATTCAGCTGACACTGCAAATGATTTAACACAGGTTCTTCATTACCCTCTTTGGATAGAGCCAGCATTCTATAACAAGGTGGCCTACACTGAAAAGACCCCTTTTATATAACAATACATTTCCAGAGCTCCATTGGTGGAGGATTTTAGAGAAAGGCTCGATAAAAAGACGCCATGGTTATGACCTGGGGGATCACAAGCAAATTTGAGAACAGTTGGAGCTGCCAGAGCTGGGATTCAAACACCCTTCCTTTTTCAGCTTTTGGCCACCCACTCTTGTGCCCACAAAGATAGCCTAGGTTACTTGTACTGTCACAGCTTTTCTTCTCCTTGACTGTGATGGGCTAAAACAGACCTAGTGACATCCTCAAGAGGGGAGGCTGAGCTTACCTTGATCAGCTGTGCAAGCTCCTTTCCTGCACGCCCAAGGTGCTGTGGACATGCCTGCCTACACAGTGCCATGTTATTGGATGGTGGCATTCTGGTTCTGCCCAGGGACCCAAAGGCTCAGAGGGGAAAAGTGAATGTAAGTGGCAAGGGGTCTTTGTAAATGAAAGGGTGCGAAGCCTTATGCTTCCTAGGGTTGTGTGTGTGTGTGTGTGTGTGTGTTTGCAGTCACTTCTCTGCCATTCATTCCAACACTTTTCAGAAAGGATGATGATGATGATGATGATGATGATGATGATGATGATGATGACAAGATCTTGAGCCAGATTAAAAAGACACAGAAGGCAACCACTGAAGAGTTTTTCTTTCCCTCCTCTCAACCTTTAACTGCATAGGAATCATTTAGTGGATATGGAAGGGTTTGTGGAGATGAAGGGAAATGTCTCCCCTACTCAAGTTTGCATGAAAAATATTTATGCATCCTAGACATAATAAGTAGATTAATCTGTATTTGCTTTTTTCTCTATCATCTCCCTTGTATCAATCAATAATCAATCAATATAAAAATCCCTCTCACCCCTGTGGGTGGTATGTGTCTTCCTCAATCTCGGGTCCTCTACCAGAGGCCTGGGAGGTTGAGGGTTCTGCACAGTATCTGAGCTG